GTTCCGAGATCTCCGATGTAAATATGATTTTGAATTTTACCATCGTTACCACCAATTGAACAAAAGATATTTTTTTTGAAAACAAAGTTTGTTCAGAATAATCTCAATAAATTACAATTCTAAGAATAAAATATAGAAATATATGATTTCACTAATATACCAATTTATCTTTAATATTACAATCAATCTGTTTTACTTTTTCACACTTAACAATACTTTCTTTAGATGACAATGTGATATAAATGACACATCTTCAGTATCATTTGAAAAACCTAATGTTGGTACTATTTAACTGGTTAACTTTTTAACATCATTTTTTAAACTATCAATTTTATTACTAAGTCTTTCGTTCATCATACAATTAGCTATCAATTCTTCATAAATTTGTTTGAACAAGATATTAATTCCTCCTAATTGAAATATATAAATTAGTATGTATTTTTTTTCAATCTTAATCACCGATTTCAAAATGTAATTATCTTTATCAATAATTTGTTATGATATAGATATAAGAATAATTATATATAGACACCTATATTATTAAATGTATTAAAGAATAAAAATATAGATAAGTATATAGACTTATTAAAAAAAAATTAGTTTTAAATACATTATTTTTGGTTACTTTTATTAAGCATATTCACATTAATCTTACTTTCAGATAAATTCTCAATAGTATTCGGAAAGGGTTAATTGACCATAGATTCTACATTCTGTGATGCATAATAATAATTAAATTTTGTTTAGTAAATATTACGATAAGGACATTAAAACTCAATTGTTTCTTTCAAATTCAAAAATTACTTGTGATTGTGAATTTTCAATTTTCAATTGTGAAGATTCAGTTGATTTTGCTAAAAATTAATGCATATAATCAGAATCTTTTATCATAGATGCTATAGAATTTGAATCAAATAATTTTAAAGGTTCCAAATTTGTGTAACTGTTTTATTTGTAGGAATTGAAGGCTACTGCTGATGAAAAAGAAGCACTATTGACTGTTGAAGGTGTTTACAATGACTTTTTACGAAAAGTTTCTAACATTGATGTCCCTTGAACAGGGGCGGATTAGCCAATCGGGAAATCGGGAAATCGGGAATCTTCCAGATGGGCCGGTTCTTGTTTGGGTTGCTCTAGATTATTATATAATTACCAAAAAAAAGGTTTTTTTGGTAAAATAAATAAAAATCATTAAAAAAGTAAATATATATTTAAGATGCATTCAGATCAAACTTCAGTTCAAGTTGTAACTGATTAATCATATGACTTACCCAAAACTATTATAACTATAATTATCGTAAAGTTATTGTAGATTTTACTAATTTAAGGGTGAAACTAAACAAATTTTGAAATTAATGCATAATAAAGCATTTTTTTGGGATGAGGGAGGGGTAAAATAGTTTAATTTGCGGTTCATGGGCCAGTTTGTTTCATATTTCCTGGGCCAAAAATAGCCAATCCGCTCCTGCCCTTGAATGTTTGGTATAATAGTGTAACCAGAATCATTAAATTTAATCAAATACAATAATAGTTAGGTATGCTATAATACATGAATTAAAAATTAAACATAAATAATAATATTTATACCTTCATTATCACTGTCACTACTTTCACTGCTGTCAATGGTATTTCTTTTATTTTTTTTCAAAAGAAATGGATCATTTTGGACATTTTCACCATCAGTAGATTCCATTTCAACTCATTTGTACCAAGCGTTATTGAAATTACCTAACATGTATATTATAAATTATAGATACAAATAAATAAATTATACATAAAAAGTAAAGTACCTTCATACTAACAATAATATATTATGTTATTATTAATGTTGAGCATAAAAATGAAAAAATAGTTTTAATCAAAATTTAAAAGAAATCAGTAAAATATTCTAACTAATTACAATACGAATATTACATTAGAATTAAGCATCTATATTTAAGTATGTATTTAATTAAAATTGTTTCATATTTCATATCATAATGTCTTGTTACCACCAACGACTTTAATTTGGTATTGTTGCCAAGATGGATCTGGATCTGTGGCCACTTTTAAATGGATACTAGTTACCCTGAAGGGTGGCCAGTAATAGTACTTTACAGAACTACTAGATAAATTGTCATTTTCTGTTTCTAAAAGCCAAATAATAGGTATAACACTATAATCTTTGCACGTTGAAGATATGACTACTAGCCATTTCTGATTTTTTTAAAACATCTGCAATGATAAAACTAGATATTTAAATGTTGTTAATTAAATACGTAATATACAAGTTTTCCCACCATTTGTTTATGTTACTAAGTTTTTTCTTCTTAATGCACATATTGTGTTTGGCACGTTTGGACTTACGAGTAATTGAAATTTTGCATGCATTAAATTATAAAGCATTTAAACAAGTTTTGTACAATTTGGATTTAGGTGATAGGTAATTTTCTTTTGTAACACGAACGCAATAAAAAATTAAGGGCTTATAACTATAACTTTAAGAGTTTGGAAAACAACTGCTGTACTGTGATCTTCATACAAATGTAATTTTAATCATATCTGTGGTTAGACATACATCACAATTCAATAGTCTGTTTAGATGAGAGTGGGAAATACAAAGGTTTTTGCCCAAACGCTAAATACCTACCAACTATAAAATAGTATATCACTCAAATACAAACTACCCAAAGGCAGCAATATGATAAAATATTGTACAGAGCTTTTTAAAATATAATACAAATTTGTTTAAAAACTTACCTTGTTATTTGACATAATTGCTTATAATAGATTCAAAAATCTTAACGAAAACACAGCTTTCACCGCACGAGAGTAAGTAATAGAATAATAGAATCGAATTAATCAACGAAAAATAATAATAAGCACGTTACATTAATGATGGAATAACAATACATGTGCAATGGATTACGTATCACGAATAAATGGTCAAAAGTTAGGTTATCCATAGACAAAGGTAGCAGAGCGAGATATCGTCGTCGCCTATAAAGTTGTAAAGAACAAGAATACGCGCGCAATCGAATTATACGCTATTATTATGTATATTTTTAGAAATATAACTGTCGATTTTCCATATAAATTATTATCAGATTTATTCTGTCTTTTCCTGAAATATTCTCGTAACGTTTGGGAAACATTATATACTTATAAAGCAATATGTTTTTATAAAACCATAAATGTAGGTTTATAAAGAACGTTTCATTGTAATGTTTGGAACATTAAATGTACATAACTTATATTTTTGTGGAACATTACAGAAATTTTTAGGTAACGTTACATTCTTATATTTACATTGGAACTTAAAATGTATATTTCTGGAATGTTTGTAACGGTTTTTTGCGCAGTGGTAGAGCCGAGTATTTCACCCTAGTCATCACCAGTGGTACTCGCAAAAAAGAAAGATGGATCGTTTCGACTATGTGTAGATTACAGACGACTGAACGACGAGACTATCTCGGACGCGCAACCAATGGGGAATCAACACGAAATAATAATTATTTTATAGTTTTCCAGTTTGATATATATAGTGTAATAGTATAATGTAAAATTGTAAATCTTTTCCTATATCATGGGTCATTCATACTTATGAATAGATTGATAAATTAAAATGTTGTTCCCCCCTTGAGAATTTTCCTATGGGCGCCCTTGTACATGTATCACACATGTATGCACGCAACATATATTTCAGTACCTACCCATTTCTTTCGCCTACACACTATCCATGAAATTTTTCAAAACCATAAATTGAAGAAAACTAAAAATTATTTAAAATTGGAGTAACCTACTTATATTTCACCAACTCAAGCTTAAAATTAAAAAATTCTGAAAAGCTTTTCCTTCTTTTATTTTAAAATTATTTAAAAACATAGTTTTTTTTTTTTTTTGTTGATCTTATTATGCACGCTATGGAGTTATATTTTTATCGGCTATCGTGTATTCCGCTGCATTCGTATTTCGATTTGGTGATATGTTGAACTTGAAAATTATATATGAGTACATTCAACCAAAACTTTAAACATCTAAATCCAACTACACACATACACAATTTTCACCATGACGCCTGGGTGTCGTAAATAACTACTTCACTACGTCATTGATGTCAGGAATAATTCAGAATCATACTTTTTTTTTCCAACACAATTGTAAAGCTAAATATGTTTTACACATTTCGAATGGGAAAGAAAAAGACTGAATGTTTAATATACAATCAATATATACGTACAAAACGGTTTTGGTATTTTTTTGATTGTTTATTGTCTTATGAGCACGTTATAATAATAATCAATATAAATGTTATTTTTGTGTATACAAGAAAAAACAATATATAATAATAATATTTAATAATAAAAATAAATAACTCCCGAGAGGGTAAATACATATAACAAATAGTAGTGGTTCACAATCACCGACAAGAATAAATAGGTTTACGTGATTGTACCGTTTAACAGCGATCTCCTAAAGATGGACTAGGCGGCAGCAATGGCTCTTCCTCGAGTCCATAAGCAGTGTATGTACTACCATTACCTACAAACTTGGAAGACCTTAAAATCAGAATCTAAGATGCAGTCAATGCCGCGACACCAGAAATGATCAGCAACATTTGGAAAGAATTTGATTACCCTATAGATGTGTGTCAGGCGGCTGGTGGAGGTCATATTAAACATTTGTAACCAAAGTAAATAAAACTTGACTATTTTAAGAATATATTTTACTTTATTTCACCCTTTTATCTTCATTTTTAATATAATTATAAATTTTTGAAATTGGATGAAGACTTTTAATACACCGTGTACTTTACCCCTATTGGTGATCGACAGTGCTTTGCCAATTCAAAATGCCGTAAAAAATATAATGACAATACGGCCAAATTTAAACAAGTTCAAAATTAAAATAACATAAAATGAAAAACGAATCCTCGAACTCGTTTTTAACTCGTTAATTTAAAACTAGTTCTAAAAATACGTAAAATTAAGTTTGGATAATAAAAAAAACAGAATGTGTACAATGAAATGAAACAAAAACGCAGTAGTTATACATCGGTTGAGATCAAATATCGTTGGTATGCATTTTATATTGGACCGTCGATCGGAGGTAACGTCGAATTTTGCGTTCTAAAGATCGTCGTCAGGGATAGGGCTGCTCGATCTAGACGTCACTGGACTGCGCGACGAAGGCGTCACTGGACTGCGCGACGCAGACGTCACTGGACTGCACGACGAAGATGTCGGGCTACATGACGGAAACGTAGATGGACTGTAAGCCGAAGACATTGGACTGTATGACGGAGACGATGGACTGTACGACGGAGACGGTGCAATGTTATTGTTATTGATGTTATCTATCGAATAAGACCCGCGCAAGTCCATCGATCTGGGCGACTGAGGTCCGCTGGAGGACGAACCTGGAACGATGGGCGACAACGGGCTGTATGACACCTCCGGGAGGTCGTACATCGAAGATTTGCTACTGCCAATGGACAGCGTAGTACTCCTCGTATAATACGTCCGAACGAACGACGACGAATTAGACGGTTCGCACAATGTAGTGACGAGGTTGCGCGAACAACTGAGAGTGCCGAGACTAAAAAACAATCAAAGTTTATTTTTAAACATAAACGTTGTTTAAACGTATTTCGGTGCGATCACCACTAGGCGTATCCAAAAATTGTTAAATTATATGTACATGCGATTATTCCAAAGGTTTTGTAAGGTATTTGATCTTTTATTGATCATTAATCTTACGGTTAAATTTAATAAATAATAATAAATAAAAATTATTCCGTCATTTCGGTGCGATGACCGATTTTAATGTTAAATATATTTTTCACTATAATTTTTAGTTCCCCGATAGAAATTTAACTATTTAGTGCTTATGGCTTAGAAAAAAAAAAAAAAAATTGAAAAAATACGTGCAACCTGGACCCTTCGAAATGGTGAATTTCAACATTACTAAAAAAAAAAAAAATTGTATAAAAGTCGAACACCCTTTTTCAAAATACGCTTTCAATAAAATACCTTCCCCGTAGAACACCTTATGATAACAATAAAAATAATAATAACAAAAGTTAAACCTGTGCCTTACCGATCTGTATTCGGAAGATCTTGAAACATACTTGCTACGTGGAATTCTATAGACTTAACAATTTGGGCCAAAATAAGATCGGAATCTTCGTTGTTTCGGAATTCCGGTTTTTCGTTACGGATTATTTCATTATTTAAGTTGATGATACTACACACTTCTTTAATCACATTATCCTGATGTAAATATAAGTACGAGTTATTTCTAGTAGCTTTTGCACTCCGGAAACTAACGCGAATGGACTTACGTAATCTCTGTTGAACTCGAAAAAATTTATCGCAGTAACACCGTTGATAGGAGGCACTGGCAACACGGTTATTATAAGCCAAAGCGGATGTATGCGCCCAAGATCAAAACCCATAGCCGTGTAGTCTTCGTCAGGGACATACATCATAACTTTGCGTACACGTTCAGCCGTCAAGGTTTGCTTTCCCTCTTCTTCGGGACTGTTAGGAACTTTCCATTTAACCATCAAATCGAAACCTGACCGCCAAATCCTTGGTTGATAAGCGCCGCAACCCTGGTGACTTGAATATGGTGCCTATAAAAGTACAAGAAACATGAAACTTTACACGTTCGAAACATACATTTTTATCGTTTTAAGTACAATGCTTGTGAGAATACAGTAAATAAAATTTAAAATTTAAAAACTATTTAGGGCTCAATAAATTATTATTTTCTTGTTTGTATGGCTATGAATATTATTAAATTAAATAATTAAAATTATAATAGTTAAAATAAATTGTTGATTTATTTTATTATACTTCATATATTTATTTACATTGGTTCATTCTAAATGCTAAAAATTATTAGAATATAATATGATAATGATCTAAATGTATTTATTGAGAAATTAAATTAATTTCATGGTTAGTGATATTTTGCTATAAAAAAATAAAAACATGTTTTTTACACCTGATGATAATTTTTCATATCAAAACTGCTCGTAAATGTTTCAAAATCGATAGTAATAGAACTTTTTATTTCATTAATATTATTTGTAAAGTTTAATATTTCTTAATAAATTATTTATATGTTCAAAAACACTTTATCTCTATGATGATATATAATTTATATAAGCTCGTCACTTGTAATCACAAATACAGGTATAGTGCGTGGATTACCAGAAACAGATTTTTAATTGAAAAAGCATACTTCATATTAAGTGATTACTATTTGATTTACCCATGAATCCGAGGAACCTTCTTCAAGAGAATTTCTTTCGAGATTATTTTCGCCTCCATCACAAATATCAATGTTTATACATAAATCATATAATAATAACAACCTTTCGTTCGAATCAATAACTCTTTTCGAAAAAATGTCCTTTACCCTGGGATCATTCTGTTCATAAAAGTACATTGAAAAATTAATAATAAATTAACAATAACAACACAATGGTCATTTGGCATGTAATACTCACAGGGCTCACTAGCAGTCTAGAACATCTGAAGCAAACGCAATGTAGAATTCTAATTAGCCAGTAAAAATATTTAACTCGAAAAACCGGTCTAACCAATTCAATATGACCCAAATGACCGTTACAATTGATCCAGCTTTCTGTGGGCATAAAACATAAATTCGTGTAAATCGTAACGCTAGTCAAACAATATCATATGCAAAATCATTTGCAACACTAACTTGAGCAAGTTTGGCATCTTGAAAAATAATCAATGGGGCCTTGTCTTGGATCCAAATGTCCAAAATACAAGGGATTTCCGATGTCGTCGATTATCACGGTCTTACGAATGCCTCCAGGCGTGGAAGACATACTTCGCTGCAAATGGAAATGAAAAACAAAACGAAAATAACTATTGAGCACCGACTATGCTTTTCGATTACAAACTTACCAATTTTTCCGGGTTAATTATTCCTATGTTAATTAGCTCTCCGGGTTTAGATAAGAAGTAGTCCATTGTCAACGATAAAATTTGATTGCTTGATTTCGATACAAAGTTAATAATTGTCCAACGATATTCCAAACCTAAGGCCTTATACACAAAACATAAACACATATAAATTAATAAGCAACATAATTTGACAGTGTGATTGTAGCAAAACATTATCGAACATTGGGAATCGATTAACAATTTAATGTTAGAGTACACTAGTGGTTCTTAACCATTTTTTTCACGGCACACTATTATACATCAAAAGTTTTCGCGGAACACTCATACACTTGACAACAACAAAAAATTTGACTACGCGCTAAGATATCCAGTTGGGTTAAAACCGTACAGTTTACCTACACATGTATCTACTTATCAGCACAATGAATTGAGTGCACAGTCCTTACGCTACTTTTTCATAATTAACAACTGACCTATCTCTTGAGAAAGAAAAACAGCTGGTAAAAATTCAGGATACTACGAACATTACAACAGAAATATAATGAATTATCACTAATTAGATTTTGGATGTATGCAGTCAGAATATCCTATAATAGCAAAAGAAGCAATCCACATTTTGTTACACTTTTCAACCACTTACTTATGCGAGTTAGGCTTTTTGGTATTAATAAACTCTGGATAAATTGTGGAGAAAACATGAGACAAAGTTGGATGTTTTTAACTTCAAGTTAAATGTGTTGCATAATGTATGCATGAAATTCCTTGATTTATGTGATTATGTCTAATCATCAAAGTGATTTATGTCTTTATGATTTTTGTTGGAAAAAATACACTTACATAAATCGCAAGTAATTTTCATTACATGTGTTCTTTGTTCTTCTTCAGTCATTATTATAGGATTATTTGTTTTAAGCAAATCTTCAACTTTTCTTGTAATCTTTGCAACTTCTTTCATGAATATTTTGGCTACGTCTTGGTGTGATTCATTACCACGGAAAATAATTGGTTTTTGTGGTATATTGAACTTTTCTAACAGATCCATGGGAACGTTTTCTGTTGTCTTTACGAATATTCCATAGCTCAGTGGTGTGTGGTTTTGAATAGCTAATGTATTTTTGCCTTTACTTTCCTCACATTTTACCAGAAGTGCTTCAAAGTCTGCGTAAATGACTATTGGATGACGTTGAGTCTTACTCTACCCATCAAACTCTAGAATAGTACCGGGGGCAGGCATAACAGGTAATATGGATTTATGTTCACCACATATTCGCGAATGTTCTTCAAATTTATTTTTTGTCTACTGTCAAAAGTTGAAAAACACCTTTTACAAAATATAACACTTTCTTTGTGCAGAGTTTTTTGTGCGCGAGCAAGCCGGGAAAAGTTTGAAATATAAGCATAGTGTGACCTATCATTATCTTTTAATAAAAACAAATCAAAATGATTTGACTTTTCCTCGACTACTCACATTGGAAAAACATGATGGTCATCCTTTTTCTTCTTCAAACCGTATATGTTGACCGAAACATTGTTGTTTTTTCAAATATTTTAACTTTATTCGAGGGGACTGGAAATGTTATCCCGGTGAAATTGTATTTATGTTCACGAATAAAATAACCCACTTGAAACATTGATGATCTGAATTATGAGGGTTTATTACGGCCTTTTTAGCTATAATATCTTTGGGTAACTCGATGTATGAGGACCTACCCATAGGTGTGTATACGTGTATACACCTAGTAATAATCCATCAATCATCTCCAGAGTGAACCCGCTGCCTTGACCTTGATATTCATCCTCCTCAGTTAAAATTTTAACAAACATTTCATCAATAATTTCCTCTATATTAGTATCGTTAAAAATCGTCCTGGCCGAGGTTTTAAAAGCTCTATTCACGGACGAATTTTCCACAGTCGGTTTATTATAAGTAGCTTCCAATTTAAGGTTAAATTTGATTGATAATGCAGTTGATTTTAAATGTCTATCAGGTCGGATTTTACTGATTAGAGAAAAACCGAATAATTGAGAATATTTGTATCATTTCTCTTATAATACCACGTTATACGGTTGTTAAAAGATGATCCTACATTAATAAAACCAAATCTAATCGAGCTTTTTTAACTCGCCTATTATTATCCGTGTTTTCATTATTACATCGGTTAGAGATCCCTAAGGAATAAATTAATTTAGTGAGTATCTAACATATTAAACTACTTGGCACTTAATTTGTTTAAAAATAATCCTATATGAATTATCACAGGAAATGGCACTCTCAATACCATCCGCCATGTGATGAAGCAATTCATCGTAACCATCATCCCCCCCCCCCCCATACCACGGATGAATGAGTAGCAGGTAGTATATTCGCAGGGGCTACTTCTACCCTTTCTGTATATATTCGAACAATATTGTACAGAATATATTAAAAAATTTATAAATTATATAAGTAAATACCATTAACAGTTTTAATATGTCTTTTAAGGATGCCATGACGTTTGCATGTTTTTGAACATTGTCCGCATTAATATCTCCGTGTATCTTAACATATCTTTGTAAGTTATCTTTACGATTAAAAACTCTAGCACATACTATACAAAACATTTTTTTTTTTTTTTTTTAACACAAAAAATACACAGAAATAAAAATGGTCAATACGTGTACGATGTTCGAGTCAAACTAAGCAACAGTCAAGCTGGCGTATGTTCTTCTGTGATAATTTAATCAAAATTATAATAATAAAAAAAGCCCCCTCTGACAATATAAAATAGTATAGTACACGAAAAGTATTAAAATACTACACTGTAAATTAAAATAACATCATTATATAATTCTCGTAATTATTCTTTGCAAGCTATTATTTTGTGAACAAAAAAAAATACACATGCTATAAGGTGATCCGCTCTTTAAACGATTCTAATTAATGCAGACTCAACGTTTTAAATAATGATTATAAAACCACACGTGAGAACATTTTATTCTAACCATTTCGATTAATTCATCATTACATTTGATAATTTGTTGTATAATAAAATGAAACCATTACCGTCTGATTCAATATGACACTCTATATATAATGTACAGAAAAATACAATATCGATATATGCATTATTATTATATATAAAAAATTGATGTCGTGTGCGATCAGTTCTAATGAAATAAGTGGTTACCATGTAAGATAAAAAAAACTTTTTTGTAGTGAGTACACAAAAAAAAAAAATTATGTTGAAACGTGTATCATTATGATATAATTATATTTTATTGTAGTCGATTGTTATCCAGATATTTCTTTGATTTTAAATAATCAATTCATAATTGACAATATGTTTACTATTCGTTATAGTACCATAAATATTTGATTTTTTTTTTAAGCGGTCAATATAATTGTTTTCATATGAGGTTTGATGTAAATGATTTAACAACTTATTTCAATAATATTATGTAATATTATGTAATATATATATATAGTAATATTATGAATATATTTAATAAATTAATAATTACATATTTGATGGTCCAGGTGGATAATCTGGAACAATTATATCTCTTGATAAATGGATATAATTGGGCTGAAGTGATCGTTCATAAACCTCTAACGCCTGACTGCATATAGTATCATCACTTTCATAAAATGTTTCTTCATCAGTTTCCTCTGTATATCCTAAGTATTCTAAGTGATAAATAAGGGTTATGTACTTTATGAAATTATTTTACCAGAATCGAATGTTTCTTCTTCTTGTGGAGGGTGAAAAGCCAAAGCTAAATTTATCTCCTCAAAAGAAATAACAATTGGTGAAGGAATTGAAGAAGAATCGGATCCACTATCAGAGTATTGTGACTATATTGAAAAAAAAAAACAAAGATAACTATATTTTAACAATTATTTGTTCTGTAACTTACCATATCTTCAAATATATTTTCAAGGTCTTCAATGTTCGTAATCAATAATATTCAGGGTTAACACTAAAAACTGAGAAAATATACAATAAATATTATTTTCTTGCGGAAGGATTAAAATAACGATGTCAACGGATGAAAAATATTACACATTCTGCGTTTAAACATTATAATCAAATTTCATATAATGTTTTTTACAGAAAACATAAGGAAGTTCCAGTTCGGTTATTGTGGAAAGGGGAGGGGGGGTGTTTTTAATAATTACAAAATCATCAATATTAAATTCTTTCTTGGAAATTTGACATATGTCGAAAATCATCATAAGAGATTTGAATATTTACACGTAATTTGATATACATATTCTGCATTATACTGAGAAACCTATATGTACATATTTAAACACGTTAAATTAATTACATATTACTAATGGATGTAAGAGTCTAAGTGGAGAATTGTTATATCCTAAACATCTCCAGTTCGATTCTTACCCAGATATTGCATTTATTTTAAATATTATCAGTAATATTTTTTGTTTTCAAATGTATTATCACCTGTACGATAATATTAGCGGTTGCTTGTAATCACATTTTATATTATCACAACTTATATCGGATATTATCAAAAATACAGTAAGTAGTGGAGGGCAAAAACGAACATGATCGCTGCAGCGGTGGGGTCGTCGGCAACGGCGGCAAATGCGGTGGCGGTGGTTCTTGAAGCCCCCATTTTATCCTACTATACTCGATTAGTATTGTAACAATAGTTCAACATGAAATAATTTTCTATATAATTATTGTTTAAAACTTTTCTTTTTTTAACGCAAAAGAAAAAATATTCTTAACTGCTTATGGTAAAAAATCAGGAAACAATTAGGAAAAACAAATAATTAAATTATGAAAACTAATATGTTATACATTTTAATCTACGTCCAATCCTTTTTTTTTTTTTTTTAATTACCTAAATTTAGCAAATAAAATGTATCATATTTCTACGTAAATGAAATTAAGTGTTTTAATTAGCGCTATAATCGCAATAAATATCCTTTTATCGCATTAAACCTACTACGAATACCAAAATAATTTATCACTTTTTATATTTCATTTCGTTTACTAACTACTCTATTAATTTAATTTGGATTTATAAATCCATAAAATTAGAAAATAACCGTCTGAAAAATGCATCAACATTGAGTAGTAGTTATCTAGTTAACTAACTGTTATTTTTTTTATAATAACCAATATTTGTTAGAATTAAATCATTTCTGTGCTCTAAATATGTGCACAGACGCAAACAAAATTTATATTTTCAAATAGCTGAGAACTTTCTTAACATGTTATGTGCATCGAATATATGGTAAAGTAGAATAATTTTTAATAGCAGTCTGTCGAAATTAAAAAATAATAAAAAAATTTCTTTTAAGTGAACGAAAAAAAAAACCGAGACACCGTTGATGCCATCTGTTAGAACGCAAACAAAATGATAGCTAGGAAAATACGTGCGAAGTCCGTCCGCGATCAGCCCGGAAATGGAGACCGGTTCAAAAGCCGTAACCGGCGGATGTCAAGTTGTCACGACAGCGCGCGTGCGTATCAGAAAACCCAGGACCATAACGGCACGGCACTTTGATATCGTTGACCCGATTCAAATTTCACGTGTATTTCTAATACCAGATTCATTAATCACTGTCAATAAACAAGAAGATAAATATTTAATTCGAAGCCGGTCGTACTAAACAAATATCATAATTCCCCTAGGATAAACGTATTTTTTTCTGTATATTAACTATTTTTTTTATTATTTATTTACGTATTAATTTACGAGTATTAATCATTTAATAATTATTTTACTATTAGTATATTTATATAAGTTGGTAATATACTAATGCAAATCGGATATTTTTTTTAGACAATTTAATCAATTGGTTTAAATATATTTTAACATTTGTATAAATATAATATATTTAATTATATATTATAGTATATATCGGATAGTAAAAAAAAAAATGAGTATGTGGCAAACGAGCGGTTAAATGCGATGAGGGTCGCGCGACTAGTTCCCAACAATTCATAATAATAAAAATGTAGTCGAGTCTCGTATGATGATGACACACAACAATACTAACACAAAATAAAGCACGAACGCGTGACGCAGTAGGATAGAAAAATAAAACAGATTTATTTCGAAAAATGTGTCGCTTGCGATCGGCGTCGGGAACGCCGTTCGGCGTGTCGGACGAAGCGTGGCCAGTGGCACGGACAAAAGTGAGTGATGACGAAAGACGTGGACGACGGTCGGGAGTAGAGATTTTAACGATCGAAAGAAAAACAGATGGAGCGAGGGCTCGTCGACGTGATGCGACGGAGGCACGATTGTCAACCGCGTCAATTCGGTGAGGGAGTGCATTGAGGTGGTCAGGCCCACCACAAGTTTATTGATAACGGTTAATGTCGATATCAGAAAAACGTGCGAAATTTCAATAGGACCGATGAGAACGCGATATTAAACAACCGGTGCCGTGGCGTCCCGGGTTAGGTTAGGTGTTAGGGAACGTGTGTTTCCCGTCTATGGGTGTGCCGCGGTTGTCGAGAAACCGAGGGGAGCAGGCGTTTATGATAACGCGTGGATACTAGTGAAATTGTAAGAAAAAAAATCTTTAAAAATAGAGAAGAAAAAAACCGTAAGGCCCTCCGCACACGAGACGATTGTAACAACGCCACGCGATTTGTGCGCGATTTATGCGATACATGCGATACAAGCAATCTGTGCGATTACGGGGGCCCACACGATGCGATTGTTTTGCGAATATTATTATCGTTATTTATGTATCAGTCGTTTACTGATGTTTGCTCGGTTATTTGGTTACCTTTTTTAAAATGCTGAGTTCATCTAGTGACGAAAAAGAAATTTTCACGTACCATTTGTACAAAAAGTTGGTTGATAGAAAAAGGCAAGAAAAGATCATAGAAGGAAATGTTAGATTCATCCTTATATTCAAAAACATAACCACTGCCGACTTTTTGTTTCGGCTAGAGCACTCCAGTAAACCGACGTTAAATTTGTAACATTTTACAGAATGTCAAAGGAATCCTACAAAGAAATTTTAAACAATATATCTCCTGCCATTTATCAAAAAAATACCAACATGAGAGAATGTGTGAGTGAAGAAGGAATTTCAATTTCACCAACAAATTTAATATTGAATGCCTCCATAGTTAAAATTATAAATAAATAAATAATATTATATGACGAAAATAAAAATGTAATCACGCGTCATTCGTGCGACGCGACTGCCAAGCGATCAGCACTGTCGGTCGCGCGTGACGTCTGTCGCAGTCGCGTCGTTAGTGGATCCCCATATACTTTGATAGGTAATCATTCATATCGCATAAATCGCGTTACAATCGCCTCGTGTGCAGAGGACCTAATTCCTCGTCCGCGACAGCGAACGATGTGCTTGGAACATTTAACGTGATTTGAAATGTAATACAGTTGTGCACTCGAAATAATATAGTATAGATTTCGTGAAACCGATTCTCCGTCGTTCGCCGCCGCCGCCGCGCTGCCGTCACGGCGCGGCGAAAACCAAATTTTACAAAACGTGCACCGACAACATAAAATGTTACGAAAACAACTAAAAGAACGTACACCAAAATTACGATAACACCTGAGTCGTAAAGATATGGATACACTTCAAAGTAAAGAAAAAAGTAAAAAAATAAATTAGTTAAAATTAAAACATATAAACACGTAAATAGTGGCGTAACGGGGAAAAAACCTAGAGGGGCAATATAATATATTATTACCAAAACCCTGACACCCATCCCCCTCACCAGTTAAAACATATTTTTATTGTATATATTTAATACACTATATCTAATTGTTTGATTTTACATAAATCTTTTAACTCATTTTATGGTTTAGATAAACATGTAGGTAGCATGTAATAGGTACCAATATTATTAAATAATATCTATAAGAATTCATTAATAAAAGGTGCTATTTGTACTGTTGGATTATTTGTGGGGAGGGGAAAAATTATACCTTTAACTCTCAAAAAATGCTCAGAGAGGGCATTTGCCCCTCCCCCACAATTACGCCACTGCACGTAAATATTGTATACAAAAATAAGTAAAATTAACAATTATCTTTACGGCGGTTAAAATAGTAGTGAAATACGCATAAAGGTCTATTGACACATATCCGAGCCGTGTCCGTGCTTCCGAGTGAACGTATTCACACACCAAGCAAGGTTCACTCGGAATCGTAAACTGGGCGAGAATACTACTTACTATTAGAAGAGTTGGTCGCGATCACTACCTGGTGTGAACTGGTAGTCGTGGTAGTAGGAGTCGTTAACGACCAAAAATAGATAGGTCGTAATTACTCCGGCATGTTGAAATGAACTCGGCCGGTTTAGTCATGAATCACTTACCAAATATCAAATTTTTTGCATATATAAAAGTATTTGTTTCGTTTTTTGCAGACGTGAAATAATAACATTTATTAACTTATAATTTATTAATTAAATTAATACAAAACAAATAATTCAATTTGTTGAATTGTATCGCGATGCGGAATGTTAGTGAAAAATAAATTCTGAAGTGTACAAAGACAGAGATATAAGAGATGGAACCTTAAAAAAAATATGCGATGAAATGGGTATCGATGGTTTTGGTATTTATGA